ATCTCAGACATACATTGACCAATTCTCAAAACGTGCACTTACTTGATGATTACTTGACTGGATCAAAGATAGCCAAACTGGCAGCTGATATTTTGTTCTAAAAACACACTAAATCCTAATTTTTAGCTCCGCTGTCGACTTTGTTGAGCGGAGCTTATCATATGAGTGATTGACCGTCGTCGTCCGTGTCAATGTTTTACTTTTTCGACTTCTTCTTGAAAACTACAAGCCTGAATGCTTTGATACTTGGTGTATATGTACCTTGGGTAGACCTCTCTCAGGTTTGTTCATTTCATGTTGATATCTTCAATTCTCTGATTTTGGTGAATATTTTTGTCATTTTTGGTAAAAAGTGATATTTTCGACTTCTTGTTAAAAACCGCAAGTCCAATTGATTTGATATTACATATATAGGTACTACATGTGGACCTCTCTCAGATTTGTTCATTTCGTGATGATATTTTCAATTCTCTAATTTTGGTAAATATTTTTGTAATTTTTGGTAAAGTGATATTTTCGACTTGTTAAAAACCAATAGTTCAATTGCTTTGATATTACATATATAGATACTACATGTAGACCTTTCTCAGATTTGTTCATTTTGTGATGATATGTTCAGTTCTCTAATTTTGGTGAATATTTTTGTCATTTTTGGTAAAAAGTGATATTTTAGACTTCTTGTTGAAAACTGTAAGTCAGATTGCTTTGATACTATTCATATTGTTCATTTTCTAATGATGTCTTCAGTTCTTTAATTGAAATGTGCATTGCTAACAGTGGAGCTATCTCAGCCGATAGGCTGCGTGGTTATGAATTATCGCATCTAGTTGCGTCACAGCTTTTCTTGGTACATCATATAAGCTTTGAGGGCGCACTGCCAGGCATCCTTACAATATCACTCCTGTTACCGTAAAATACTTTATTTTAGCTGGAATAAATTTTTGCTGAAAAGACTTTTTGGATGTTTTGTATAGAATTTACTGATTTTTGACGAGGTGAATGTAAAATGTGGAAAGAAAAGTATATTCGCTGGATTTTATTTTCAGTAAATCATTCCGTCAGCAAAAGTATTAAAAATAAATTCCGAGCGGAAATAAAGTATTCTACATTATATGGCACACATGTGCTATACCTCACGAGGGCGCTGCTCTGATACATACAGTACTAATTTTTGCAGATGAAAAGGAGAAATATGATCCTATAGGATTCCGTGATGCTGTAATACTTGGTATTTACGATGCCAGTGATTTGGATCAGCTCGCCAAGTTCTTGGATACCGCCGGAAGTCGACTTAATTATCGACGCTATGCCGACGTCCTCTTTGATATCCTATTTGCTGGGGGAATTTTAGGTGAGTTTTACTGGAGTTTTCAAATTTACAAAACTGTGTTTGGAATCAGTCATGGCCAACTTGTGTTTTATTGGTCATGTTCAGAATACAGTCAAACCCGTTTTAGACAGTTATATGATGATGCACCTACCTATAGTGACCATTTTTTCGGGGGCTATAATGTACGAGTAACCTGTGTTAAGAAATGCACCAATGTACCATGCATTTCTATGGGTTATAAACAGGCTTCTGTAGAACACTGGTTGGAGAGCCAGTGAAAACAGCAGACATTGCGAAAACATTGTGAAAACAGCAGACATTGTGAAAACAGCAGACATTGTGAAAACAGCAGACATTGTGAAAACAGCAGACATTGTGAAAACAGCAGACATTGTGAAAACAGCAGACATTGTGAAAACAGCGACATTGTGAAAACAGCATAAACTCAACTAAAAAACAATCCCAAACGACCAAATTTATATATGTTACACGTGTTACCTCGTTGCTCTGTTCAGCAATATATTTTTTTTTTTGGGAGTTTTTCATCATTTTGGTCGCCAGTTGTGGTTGCCAGGCGATGAAAATGTCTGGATGGTTTGCTCGCAAGAATAAGAGCAATGTTAGTATAACTGTACGCTTGAGACGGATAATTTTTCGCTCTGGGCTGATAAATATTAAAACTTATTTGCACGATGGTCTGGTAAGTTTTCTCTGGTCTGCTTTAATTTTAATAAAAAAGTATTTTGGATCAAGTTAAACAGTTTGCTTCGGATGGCTGATAAAAAGATGATGAAACAATGAACGCAGCAATTTAAAATAAAAAAAATTATATAATTGTGCATGTTGGATTTCTGTGATGCTTACTTGGAATGAAATTAGGATTTCAATTTCTAAAATAAGGAACTTTGTAGTACTAGTATCTACCTATGTTAATAATATGAAACATATTTAGGCATATTACTCCAAAAAATGTTGGATATGTATCAACATCAGTTTATTGGCTAAATATATTAAAAATATACATAGAAATTGGATTGGCCTTGCGCACATAGGTTTGAAAGCCACCCAGTCAGTTTTGAAAGCCAACCAAACTACCGGTAAACAAGCTTGAAAAACTAGTTAAGTATTAAAGGCCCAGGTATACTATAAATACGCTCCTAAACAATAGGGATTATTTTCTTGCTTGTTACGCTGTAGTAAACAGTTCAAGCCAAGCTCCGGTAAAAACGTGTTTTCTCGAACTTGCAGGTCTATTATGTCGTGCCAAAGTGGATGCATTGGTGACTATGAATATCACAGCAGTGACTGTGTGTAGTATTTATGACAATAGTGTACGGGTTGAGATTTTGGCGGATAAAAGTCAAAAACATGAACCGGGGAAAGGGATGCGCTACAATTCTTGAATAATTAACTACTGTCAATCAAAGTCACGTGATGTTGGACTGCTGAAACAGGATGCGTCATAGGCTATGCAAGTGATTAACAACACTCATTAGCATAGCCACACCTCCAATTCACACTTGCCCAGGGCAAGTGAATTGGGCCTTTAAGTATCATTTCTGATTACAGCCCCTGGTGGTGGACTGATAGAAGATGAGAAAGCTAGATGCGAGCTGTGTGTGTTTCTAGCAGACAATGATCTGGATGCCATGAAGGCATGGGCACAGGTAAATATAGACACACACAACCATATCCATTTTGTTAGTTTTTCCCATTTTTTGACTTCAGTGTATTAAGTACATTCACCTTGACCATGATGTGTTTATGTGTGTGTTGTAATTTGGCATTGTTACACAATTATCACAGTTGGTCTACTGTAAAGTACTTTATTTTACTGGAATTTTCACTGAAAAAACTTGTGGGTGTTTTGTATGAAATTTATTTTCACTGATTTTTGTCAAGTTGAATGTAAAATATAGGGAAAAGGGTATATTCGCCGAATTTTATTTTCACTGAATCATCCCTTCAGCCAAAATAGCAAAAATAAATTCCAAGCAAAATACAGTATTTTGCAGTATTTAAAAATGTAGTGTTATGATTACTCATGAGATGCAGTGACGTTGTGGAACCCGGGAGTGAAACTTATCCAAAAGAGGAAAGTAGGTGTGTGTTTATGCTAAAATATGTGCGCCAGGGTAATGTGTTTGTTGGTTGCATAGGGATCTTTTCAAAAGTTGCCTTCCTATTGCTCATTAGCCAGGCTGCTCATTAGCATAATTTCCATGTTGACAAGCGTATGAAGCACTGTAGAATAGACAAGTTATGGAAATTTGCGTCAACGCAAAGATTTATTAAGTTGTCATGGCCTGGCCAGTCTAAAGTGAATGCTATTACTGAAAGTTAGGTCATTTTGATGCACAGTTTAAAATTGCTGATTTATTGTGCTGATTTGGTCAAATGTCAAATGAAGCTGCTTTTGAAAAATATAAGTTGTTTTATGGACTCATTCAGGTTTCAATAATTTGCCTTTTATGAGAGATGGAATGTTTTTAACACAGCCATGGCTGCAGCCTCTGTTCGTGAACTGTGTTTGCACAATTTATTGAAGATCTGCGTGATGCCTCAATGCATTGTGGTACTCCCATGATGAGTCTCAATGATGTACATTAATTTTTCTACTTGATGACATCACATGAAGGAACCCACAGTTTGATGACATCACATGGGAGAACCCACAGTTTGATGACATCTTGTGAGAACCCACAGTTTGATGACACCTCGTGTGAACCCACAGTTTGATGACACCTCGTGTGAACCCACAGTTTGATGACACCTCGTGTGAACCCACAGTTTGATGACACCTCGTGTGAACCCATAGTTTGATGACACCTCGTGTGAACCCACAGTTTGATGACACCTCGTGTGAACCCACAGTTTGACGACATCTCGTGTGAACCCACAGTTTGATGACATCTTGTGAGAACCCACAGTTTGATGACATCTTGTGAGAACCCACAGTTTGATGACATCTTGTGAGAACCCACAGTTTGATGACATCTCGTGAGAACCCACAGTTTGATGACATCTCGTGAGAACCCACAGTTTGATGACATCTCGTGAAAACCCACAGTTTGATGACATCACATGTGAGAACCCACAGTTTGATGACATCACATGTGAGAACCCACAGTTTGATGACATTACATGCGAGAACCCACAGTTCGATGACATTACATGCGAGAACCCACAGTTCGATGA